ATTCATGAAAATACAACTTCTTACTAAGTCATTCGGTTCACCGTTGGTGTACTGATCCAAGTAATAGAGCCTATCCTTGGGATTGATGGTTTTGTCTTCTATTCCATGCTCGAATGCTCGTATGAAAGGCTTAAACTGTAGTGGGTCGCCACTGAACACAGGATCTTCCAAGTGGGTAGCGTGGCCAGTTTTTGGTGTTCCACTAGCTGGATTATCTCATTCTGTTGCTTACAGGCAACATATTTTTGTCTGGCAATAAGTTCGGCCCTTTTTGCCAGGATTTCCATTTTGGCAGAGGAGATTACTGAAACCTTACTTAATCCAACTTGGGAAACACTATCTTCTGGTCTAATGTCATCTCCCGTACCGTAATGTTTAATGAAGGAGGTAACATTTCTTTCAAATTGCGAAAGGTGCCTAACTTTGATTGTAACCAAGCTGCTTCTTCGTCTTTAGCTGATTGGCTATGAAGTTTATCATGATAAGCTTTAGCCGATTCTTGAAACTTGTCACATAATTCCTTCCAATCTTCAAAATCATTTTTGACGGCATCCAAATCTGCATCAGGGCACATCAAATACTCAATGTCATTTATCTTTGAAGAAACCTGCTTGTATAAGAATTTCATTTTATCCATTGCCATGTTCAAAACATACTTTTGGCCCTTTTCAGTCTGTTTTCTTAATCTTGATTCAGTTATTAATGATTCATCATTTCTTGCAGGTTCATGAATCAGTTCTTTGTCACTTGTAACAGCATCACTCAATGTTCTACTTGCCATGATTTCAAATCAATTCAACACCAGTTCCAATAATCTTGAAATATTTGATGTAACTTACAATTCTTGAAATCTGTAATCCTACGTGATAAATCCAATTCAGTGTATACACGATTCCAGTGAAATATAAACCCTCGTGTATTTGCCTGTTTCTGAATAAACGCACACTTCCATACTCGAACAGGTAGTCTTATTACCCGTAAGTTCTTTAATCACGCATTGATGAGACCATAAAAGTCACATTTACTTAACAATGTCAACTTCTTGAGGAAATAAAATACCTTACTTCAACTTCGAGTCCTTAATCCAATTTGTGTTAATCCGTTTTGAACTTTGCAGGATCCTGTTGCCAATTCACGAATGGAGACACAGTCTTCTTTATGTCCAAGTCTTAGGTTCACATCCGGATTTTCACGGGTTTTTCAACTTTTAATGTGAACTCTTAAATTATCTAAGTAATGGAGATAGAGGATATCAAAGTTTCAACTCGATCCAGCACTTTAATATTGTCTTTAATTTCAAACTTCACTTATTCCATATAACATAATTCCATAAATTCAGTGAATGTCCACACAATGATTGAATAATATATCACATATTCCAAGAATAAGTCGTAATATAATAAACAGCACAGTTGCAGGATAAATGCAGGATAGTAACTTGTACCGTGGCTCGGACAGTGGCTCGAACAGTGGCTCGGACAGGTTAAAAAACCGTATGTCCCCTATTCCCTTAACACAATCTTCTTACACTCTCTTAGAAACATGTCTTACTTCTTTCGTATCTTAAAACTCTCTGCTCTCTTTCTCACACTAATCTTGGACGCGACGTTAAACCCCATTTCACCTCACCTCACCTTTCTCACACTCATTCGTCTAACTATATATCTGAAATTCTTGTGGGATGCTTATCGCGGTTGATCAGGTCACGATCTCTAAGACTCAACACACGACAATTAACTTTTAAGTCTTAGCTGTAACATTATACTTTTGCTGTCACCAACCCCTGGGAAAAATAGCCTGAAACGGCCACTGGCAGCAAGGGCTGGCTATAACTATACTTAACACATGCACCCTTGTACACATACAAACCCTAACAAAGTTCCAATTGAAAGGATTTTCAATGAACTACAAATACCTAAAGTTCGGCTCTAACATATAGTAATATCACATACCAATACTACCAACATGTATACTTTCAGTATGTATAGTAATATCACATACCAACACTACCAACATGTATCCTTTCAGTATGTATAGTAATATCACATACCAATACTACCAACATGTATACTTTCAGTATGTACAGTTATGTCACATACCAATACTACCAACATGTACTTTCAGTATGTATAGCAATATCACATACCAATACTACCAACATATATACTTTCAGTATGTTTAGTAATATCACATACCAATACTACCAGCATATACTTTCAGTGTGTATAGTAATATCACATACCAATACTACCAACATGTATACTTTCAGTACGTATAGTAATATCGCATACCAATACTACCAACATGTATACTTTCAGTATGTATAGTAATATCACATACCAACACTACCAACATGTATACTTTCAGTATGTATAGTAATATCACATACCAATACAACCAACATGTATACTTTCAGTATGTATTGTAATATCACATACCAATACTACCAACATGTACTTTCAGTATATACAGTAATATCACATACCAATACAACCAACATGTACTTTCAGTATGTATAGTTATATCACATACCAATACTACGAACATGTATACTTTCAGTATGTATAGAAATATCCCATACCAATACTACCAACATGTACCTTCAGTATGTATAGTAATATCACATACCAATACTACGAACATGTATACTTTCAGTATGTATATTAATACCACATACCAATACTACGAACAGGTATACTTTCACTATGTACAGTAATATCACATACCAATACTACCAACATGTACTTTCAGTATGTATAGTAATATCACATACCAATACTACCAACATAAACACTTTCAGTATGTTTAGTAAGATCACATACCAATACTACCAGCATATACTTTCAGTGTGTACAGTAATATCACATACCAATACTACCAACATGTATACTTTCAGTATGTATAGTAATATCACATACCAACACTATCAACATGTATACTTTCAGTATGTATAGTAATATCACATACCAATACAACCAACATGTATACTTTCAGTATGTATAGTAATATCACATACCAATACAACCAACATGTACTTTCAGTATATACAGTAATAGCACATACCAATACAACCAACATGTACTTTCAGTATGTATAGTTATATCACATACCAATACTACGAACATGTATACTTTCAGTATGTATAGTAATATCACATACCAATACTACCAACATGTACCTTTAGTATGTATAGTAATATCACATACCAATACTACGAACATGTATACTTTCAGTATGTATATGAATACCACATACCAATACTACGAACATGTATACTTTCACTATGTACAGTAATATCACATACCAATACTACCAACATGTACTTTCAGTATGTATAGTAATATCACATACCAACACTACCAGCATGTATACTTTTAGTATGTACAGTAGTATCACATACCAATACTACCAACATGTATACTTTCAGTATGTACAGTAGTATCACATACCAACACTACCAACATGTATACTTTTTGTTTGCTTGTTGTTTATCGCCGCACTCAGCAATATTCCAGCTGTTACAACGAGCATAGTCGCCTCTTACGGCAAGCATGAACTCAGTTCCCGAGTTCCCGAAAGCGGAATTGCACAGATCCTAGAAAGTGGTCAGGATTCAGAAGATTTTCTTGGTTGGCAGAATCATTTGAAGCATGTCCAGCTTCACCGACAGTTTATAAACCAAGGTTGTGTGGAGCAAAGCCCGATTCAGTAGACAAGGAGGCATAAATACATATACATTTTCAGTCGAGTTGGGAATGGTTTTAAAAACTGGAGGAATCGAAATTCACAACCCGGGAAATTGTCCGATGCAGATTCTCACATTTTGAACTGTTCACTGCTGCTCTTGTACTCGGCTTCCACCACCAGGCTTGGGTAACTGGTGTCGTAGTTCCCCGACGGCGTGCGGCGTTGCTGATAATATCAACCACTGTTTTGTCTGGCTCATTACACGATATTATTTACAGGATAAAGCTTGAATACTGCCGACTGCGACGTAATACAAGCAAATAAACATCATACCTTTTCTATGAATGTCGTATATGAATCTATAGGGCTGAAATATTGCCGACGTGATGATTTCCTACAGAAAGCATTCCATTATTTTGTATGCCAATTCCCTTACGATGTACCGAAGTCACTAGCGCGTGGTATTTTCATTTCCCGGAACTTACAAAAGCATCATGGCCTCCACGCTAAAAATACAAACTATAATGACAACAAAAGGCCATCATACGCTCATATTCAGAGGGAGCGATCCGTCGGGAGAAAAACAATAACTCAAAAGCAACAGGTATACTCTCCTTAGTTCCTTATCCTTACGCAACATGGAATTTGTTATTTCGTTTCCTGGTATATTAAGTTCTATTCAAGTGGAAGAATGGGTAAATATACACAAAAGATATTTTTAAATTGTGTTTAGCGGGACGGTAATTTAGTCAGCTATTCTCACATTGACCTTATTTGATACTGGATAATTATACTTTCTTTAGTTTCCTCCAGCTACAAGCGTATTGTAGTCAAGAATTAATAAAATATATAGCTTCATTTAAACAAAACTGGTAATTGGTGTGTTCGTATTATTTTACACTATACACAAGACATGGCAGGTGCATTGAAGGGCCGGATAATTCTCGCCAAAAACCATGCCATAAAATTAGCATTGCTACCGAGCTATGGAACCCGCGAGATCAGTGACAAAGCATGACACTATGCATCCAGCAGAGCTTTTACAAGTCGATTTGATAGAGTCAACAATATGTTTACATTGGTATGTTTGCCGTGAAGGCACGGGTAGGAATAGGTCTTCAGCAACCCATGCTTGTCGTGAGAGGCGAACCTATGCAATGATTTTGTCACTGAACTTAAGTGATCTATGAGTGATCTATGAGTGATATATGAGTGATCTATCACCAACAAACAAATATATTAAAGTCGAATTCAAATTTTCGCGGTACGCAATTTACCACAGTTACTTACCCTTATCATAGGCGGCGTGAAACAATGGGGGTTGCTATGGTGACGTCCCTTGCCTTGTCGAACATGATGTCGTGTGTGAGAAGACACATACCCTTCCCTCATCCAGTTTATCTGTACTTAATATGAGTGCAATCACATGGTAATGAACAGACAAGAACTAGGTAAGCCCCTGTTCTAGTTCCTGTACATTAAATTGATACGGTATTTTCTGGGAAATTCTATATAGGGTAAACTACGCTAGATCTATAGAAGAGACATTTAATCCATGTACACGCGCATAAACTATGATAAATATATGTTTATGGACAGATAAAAAGAAAAAAATATCGTTAACTGTACAGATCACATCAGTCTTTTAGAATTATGATCGATGTGTTTTCAATAAAAGTAAGGTAGATTCTAAATCTACACTGTTTTAGAACCGAAAGTAAATTTACATACCTAGGCCTATCGGTAGAGGTAGTTTATTAGAAAACATAGTAACCTTAGATATTGATCATTAAAATATCGCGTTAAAATACGCATGTTTATGCACAAAATCAGTAATAAATTTATTTGTTATTAACGGGAAACAACTCAATTTACACCAAAGAGTTGTACGCCCTTTGCAGCCTTGAAACAAGCCTTGACATTTCCCCGTACATGTATTTTACGGAACTTTTGATTGTCGGTTGATCTATTTATCTTGCATTAGTGTGCTTTACTAATGCTCATACTATTATCTGTCGACGTCAGATTTTAGAATAATTGTAAAATTACACATGCTAATTACGATTCAGAGTTTGTTTAGGCCAATACGCCTAACCGGTTTCATTGTTCTTGTTTCCAGGCAGTTCTCCTGTCCTCCCGGATCCAGAACCTCCGACGGACTTTGTTTGGAGTGCTCAGACGCAGCTTTCCTCCCAGCACCGTCCTCGGTCAGTCGTTTTCTCATCGAGGGTAATCTGTAGCCAACCAGATACCTTCTGCGATAACTGTACCTGGCCCAGTGTCAGTCAACCCGAGTCCATCTATGCACCAGCCGTGGAACAGCGTTGGATGTCGCGGGAACAGCCCGATATACACAGCACAGAAGCACAGTGGCCATTTTCTCACGATGAGTCAAATTCTTCCCCGTGCTGCACTCCACTGTCGTCCACAATCCACTTAAGCAGCCAGGTGTGTTTGACAATAAATGTTTATGTACATGTCATTTTATTGCTGGAGATCTATATGCCTAACTTTGCCCTTACCTTACCAGTGGATCCTAGATCTACACTGCTGGCCATATTCATGCCTAAGCTAAGGGTTCTAGACCACATACAATATTACTATTACCTGAGTGGCTAAAGTTGCAAACTGCATCCAGTCTGTAGTAGATCTAGTACTCTGTATACAGGCTGCGAGTTCGATACCATGCAGGGTTTAGTAAATATATATTCCTGTCCCATAAGGACCAATATGTCAACATTAATGTCTATTAGAAATGAGACAAAAAGTTAAGTGGGCACTCAAGTTTTGGGCACTGACTGGTGTTACAGTAGGTCTACAGTACTGTAGGTAAATCTACAATAGTTGTAATGTGTATTATTTCGAAATTAATCCAGAATGGTCAGGGTACGTCCACAAGTTACTCCTACCATGATAATCATCCATCAACCTCTCTGGCAACAAGATACCAAGGTCTGTACGAACTAGCAAGAGATTTAGATCGTCTTCCTCCACATTCTGAATTTGGAAGTGGCTCAAGCCAGAGTCAACCATTGTCCACACTGACAACTGCATATCAGGATCTGTATGAGAGAGCAAGGATAGAGCTGGATAACAATCCACCTAGTGATCAGTCAGACTCAAGCAATGGTCAGCTACCATCCTCCTCCTCTCAGAATGAAAACAGAATTGACTTTGAGAGTGACTCAAGCCAGGAGCTACCTGCTCCTGGTGATTTCCCAGAAGAGAATCATTCATCAGGATCAGGCTCTTTCCAGGGACCACCTCCTTCTTATGATAGTGGCTATGATGACACCATTTCTGGAGATCACAGACTTGAGGTTATTGAACAAGAGGTCATGCTACATCCACACCAGCCAGGTGTAAGTATGATCAATAATGATAAGGATATTCTGAAGTATTTATGAGTTATGTCTTGATTTATTTAAAGTGAGTGTTTGCAGGGAATGTGATAATGGTTGTTGGGAGTTATAGATCATTTATTGATTTGGTGTCTTATGATAAGGTATAGTATAATTTAGCAGTCTTGATCTTCTTCAGCCCATGGCCCAAATTTACAGAGGTGATGTTGAGCAAGTTCTCGTGATAGAAGTAGTCCCAGCTGTGCCACAGATCCATGCAGAGCCAGCCAACCAGGTGAGAGGCATTATACAGGATATAGTTTGAAGGAGCCATTCAGAAGAAGGTTCAGGACGCATGGTAATCTCTTGGTCTGTTTTAATGACCATTAATTAATGATGTGACACCAATAACAAAGGAATTCAAACTACATGTACTGTATTAACAATCAGTATTGTCTCCTTTGTGTTTGTTTTTCTATAAAGAGACCCTTATTAGATGTTTGATTGTAAACTGTAACCACTTTCTTTGCAGAATCCATTGACTCTTCCAGTGCAACAGAATCGTCCTATTGATCAAAGAAATGTATCTTCACAGGTAAGATATGAACAATATCTTTCACATCTGGTATGAATGTAAAACATGTTAAAAATGGAAATTTAATCATACTGTTTCGTCAAAGACCTATTTGTTTAAAAAATATACCAGGGTATTTGAAGTTGTTGCACTGATTGAAAGTCAATGTTTCTCAGTCACAAGTTTATTTTTTACAGACCTCTCAACTGCATCTCACCCTCAACAGGGCTGCGTTTGATTGCCGTTTGACTCAGAGTGGAGGCTCCTGCTCATCAACAGACGAGCCTTCTCATGGCACCCTTAGCACGGCACCCTCAACCTCTAGATTGGTTCATAGAGACAACTCTCTGAGCAATGGCTCGCTCACTGAGAATGTCAATCTCAGGAGCTACAAGGCCAGACAAGAGCCAAAAGCCTCTCCCATCATCATTAACTCCAACAGCAGTCAAGATGGTGTCTGCAGACAGGTGAACACTTGCAGCAACAGCCTCTCACCATCTGGTGACTCCAGCACTGCCCCATCCACAGCAGATGTCTTCACAACTACAAGCAGTGGTTCTGAGTCTGTTGCTTTCTTTCCAGTACCACCCAATGCATCTTCCCTTACAGTAGTTTCTTCTCAGAGATGCCACTTGGCTGATATAACAACAAAGGTAAACATGTATATGTATGAACTGTCCAATGTTGATCCATCAACCTCACACACCCCTTCAACCTCAAACGGGGCAAAGAGAGCTCACTCTGAGATAGAAGCTGATGATGAGGCAACGCAGAATGGATTTCCTGACATCAGCCAAGATGACAGAATACTCAGAAGAATGAGCAGAGTAAGGAGAAGTCGAAGGGACAGGAATGAGATAAGGGTCATCAATGGAATCAATAGGCACATTGAGGAGCCCTGCAACAAGCTCCCTCTGCCTAAGAGAAAGAGAAGCCTGTCTCCCTCTGTTTGGGGATACAGAAGAGCCAGGACAGGAGTAGATAGATGGCAACAGACAGCATCAGGACATGATCTCAGGATCGCATCTGGAAGTCCCCCAGTATCTAGAGAAAGCTGTCTCCAAGAGGTACATGCATATGCAGAAAGTGCCATGCATGACACAAATGACTGCCATCAGACACAGACATCTGGGCATGACACCGGATCTGGAAGTGACTCAGACGGAAGTCTCCAGAAGGTTCAGGCAGAACCCAACAGGCCAGAGTCACCAGTCTTGCAATCAAGGAAAAGGAAACTCCCCACAGCTCATGCTGTGGAAGATGCTGCAACCAAGAAGTCAAAGAAAGGTCCGGAGATGGCACAAAGACCGGAGAAAACGACCAACAAGGTCTTTCAAAATTTGTGCTCTTGAACATTAAGAACTATAGTGAACTTTGCAGGTTATGGTGTTACCTGTATTGGTTTGGCTAATCATTAGTTAAATAACACCCATTCGATTACTTCCTGATATATATGTCATTCTATGAATTTGGTAGAACCATGTTTAAAAGGCTGGCATTTCAATATCAAAATCATTAGGGCAGATCTAAATTTGAAACCTGGGCTTCGAAAGAAATTGTCGTTCATTAGTTAATTAATGCCTGTTCAATATCTTCTTTACACAGTATAAGTTGGGTAGAATCATGTTTATAGCTATAGTCTGTATGTCAAAATCCCTACAGATCTAAATTTGAAGCCAGGGCTTTGAAAGAAGGTTTGTCAGTTTATATGATTATGTTTGTGTTATCTGATAATGTACCTTGTTATTGATTTTACATTTGACAATGAGCAATGCAAACGATGTGTTACAATTACTGCTTGGAAGTGACAACCGTGCCCAGGCCAAATGTTTTCTGTGCAATACATTTCATTTCAGTTAAATATATACCAGTATGATTGCTGCAGAAGAGGGATGAGTTCTTCATGAGCATACCAAACGATATAGATGTGTACAGGACTATATAGCATATATATATCTATCTATCTATTTTTTACACTTGTTTAATGTACTTGTATATATGTATCATGTAGATGGATGTTGTGAATACTCATGTTAAATGAATGGAGTTTCAAATGTAAAAGATATTAGCATTTCCGTTGTGAATGGGTGAGAACAGTATTTTATTTCAATAAATGTGATGTACATGCTGTGATAAATAGATATACCATGATGAAAACAATAATCAAATCTAGATTAAATAAACTTGAAACATTTCAAAATAATAATTTTGAAAAGCAATTGTTACTGTTTATCAATATCAAATATATTTACATCTAGGATGAAACGAAGAAAATCATGAAAATATTTTTTCTATACATATATAAAAGATATATCTGTCGAGGTCTATTGCTTCAACACCAAAAATATAATATATTTATATAATGTTGTTGTATTCTTTGGACTGTATACAGCCCGGAACAACACGAATAAAACTTATAAAACGTCAATGCTGTGTTATGTACTGCTTTCATGCTGATGTCCTCAGTCTACTGTCACTTCACTGTTTGAGAATGAGTTGCAGTCTCAGAAGGTGTATGTTTTCATCTGGTGGCTTTTTAGAGGAAAGCAATTAAAGTATGAACGAATGAATACATAATATAATACGCTCTTCTCTGTAGCGTGGTTGTGTCAATCCTCCTTCAGGCGACTTGGTTTTATTCCACTCTTGGCGAAAATAGCCGAACGTGAGAACGTGATTGAGTCTTCAAAGAGAGTGCGGTTAATGTGATTATCTCCCTTAGACCCTTGTACTCGTTGGGCTACTTTTCCCACAATCTATACAACAAGCGATTCGGGGTAGAATAGGTCTTCAGCAACCCATGCTTGCCGTAAATGGCAATAATGCTTGTCGTAAGAGGCGACTAACGGGATCGGGTGGTCAGGCTCGCTGACTTGGTTGATGCATGTCATCGTATCCAAATAGCGTGGATCGATTCCATGACATCAATAACTGGATTGTCTGGTCCAGACTCGATTATTTACAGACCTCCGCCATACAGGTGGAATATTGCTAAGTGCGGTATTAAACAACAAACAAACAAACAAACTTCATGGATTCTTTTCCAATTGAGGGAACAGTTTCTATACCAATAGGAGAAGTGCAGTGCAAAGTTTGATTTCGATAAGCGGATTCTCTGAGAAATATTGCTTTTTTTATGTTTTGAGCTTAGAAATATGTTGGAGTCGAAGTCGGCGGTATTAGTGATCCCTACTCACTTTTTGTCTTGATATTATCATACAGCCATATAACATTCAAGGTTGGTGTACCGGTGACTACGTATATGATGTTAGATACATCCAACATGGATCTATTTGTCTGTTTTCCTTTAATGTTAAACGCCGCACAAAGCAACATTCCAGCTATATGACGACAGTGGTATGTAAATAATCGAGTCTACACCAGACAATCCAGTGACTGACATCATGAGCATCGATCCGTGCAGTTGGGATACGATGACATGCATCAGCCAAGTCAGCGAGCGGTTCCATTGGCATCAACGTCCAGTGATGGAACACTTTCGGTGTATATGATCGAGTCCAGTGATGGAACACTTTCGGTGTATATGATCGAGTCCAGTGATGGAACACTTTCGGTGTATATGATCGAGTCCAGTGTTCCGTCAAGAAGGGGTTGTCTCGACCTCACACACCCGCGAACCGGGAACCCAGGTTAGAAAAGGCTGTGCTAACCTTCATGCCAACCTCTGAGCTACTTATTTTGAAACGCAACAGCTTTTGAAATGACGTACACATGACTAATCATGAACAGATCATATTCCCCGAACATGTAAGATTCCACAACATTTCACACGTTTCTTTTTTCCGTTACTACGATGGACCCCGTTGCACAAAATGATCTTAGCTACGACTATCGTAAGCATATGTAAAGTATTGGAGTTATGGTCACCTTAGTGGTAAGATCGCTTTGTGCATCGGAACCCAGGATAGCACCGTGGTATGCTTCCATCGAACAAGTGCGATTACAAGTTGTAGTCTACCAATGCGTGTGGTTATCTATCAGCATCTCAACCTTTTGGAGGGAAGTTTGACTTCAATACATATTATTTTTAAATCACTTTTTGTCGTGTTTCTATAATCACTTCTTAAAATGAATAATCTATTATTTGTACTTGAGTGATGATAGATATTTTGGACACGCTCAAGATTGCAAACACTCCGTTACCTGTATAAATGGAAAAAATGCAAATATCACAAATTATACAACCCTGTTCAGTTACTAGTGCATGAAAACGTTATCTCTTTTTTTATAACAATGTTTCCAATTTAATTTGTGTTCTTGCGTTTTGTTTGGTGGCTTGTTTATAGGTAATTGAGATATTATTTACATGGTATTTTAATAAAATAGAGAGTGCTTTAGTCTAGGTCCAGACGTTTTTTCCAAGATTGAACTGTATTACTCAATGGGATCTACAGATCTAGTGGGTAACACTTTGGATGTACATCATCCAGCCCAATATTCAGTTGCACCATTGTGATACAGCTTGAACTAACACAGCGTTGGAACCCAAGTTTATACCACGCCGTTACTGGTGGCACGGGGAACGTAGTTGGATCAGGCTCTGTGACAAGACTGAGTGGACATCGTGACCCGATGGTATAGATTGCTGCTCCAGTTTTCAGACACTGGTTTGTCTTTCTCGACTATTTACAGGCCACCGAGGTGGGATATTGCCGAGTGTGGGGTTTAACAGTCTTCACTCACTCACTGGAGAGAGTCTCTGTATGTAACTCCCTACACAGGTGACCATGCAGACAAAGCAACGTTTCGATTCCCTTCGTGTCATAGTTAAGTATTCTTCCTGGTAATATAATATCAACGTAGTCGTCCGGTTTCTTTTAAACAGTTTGCCAGAATGCCTACAGTTGACCGTGTCATCTCAAACCATATTCGCCTCAGCCAAGAAATGTGAATGCCGAAACCTTTAACTGTTGCTTGTCTCTTTTCCGATGTTTGAGCATCCAACGCGTCTGTATTTTGAAGGTACATTCATGGAACGCGTGTAAAACTTCCATGGTCCACAGAACTGTCTTGGTGTCTGCGTGTTTGGCTTGTATGTGTATGTTTTAGTGGCTACTTATCTTGGCCGTAGCTCATGCTTGCTATGACACTTTCAAATACTTTTGCAAGTCTCTTACGTTTTTGTTGTGACAACCAACAGTCTCAAAAGTGCTTCACTATTTACTGTCGCCGTTCGCGTTTCCATACTGCCTTCACCATGCTGTGCTTCCCGTCGGTGGTGTTGTACCGGGACTGTTACACATGAATACAGTTCTGCATCAATATTCCAGTTTTTGTTCTGGGCTTTAAACTGGCTGAAATCACCGAAATCACAGCTGCTTGGTGCTATTTTACCGATATGTAGAGCTAAAGCCAGAGGTAAAAAAATAGAAGACACGTCTGCAAGTAGGGAGTGTATGCATGCGAGATCAGAGAGAGAGATAGAAAGTTGTCTCGGTGAAGATACACCAGACATTTGTCTGGAAGGATGTGTCGGATAGTTACTTGGTTGTATGTTGTTTAGCGTTGCTCTCGGCAATATTTCAGCTGTATGATAACGACGTGTCAAGTCCTGAGACGGACTAGACAAACATATGACTTACATTATAAGCATCTTCTTACACATCAGTGAGCGAGTCACGTCTATCATGTAGACCTTATGAAATTTGGTATACAGATATTTGACCAGTACTTTGAAACAAAAAAATAAATAAAATGTTTTCGGCAAAATATTCTAGGGGCTTTTTCAGATTAAATTGGATGGGTAGGAGGAAATTAAAAAACCAAAACTATAATAACTTGAATTTGACACATTTCAGTATTGTGTCTGTTTTCCAGAGTAGAAATACTAGTACTGCTCCGAATATTGAAGTAGTTTCAGATATTTTTTTGTTGTCAAACGAATTTTACTGTCTGTGAATAACTTCACTAACTATATTGACTGTATTTATTCTGTTCATAACCTCTTTGAGATAATTATATTCTCTGGACATGAGTTTCAAGGATAGCCATTGGAACTTAAACTTTGTGTCAAGTGTGAGTTGTCCAAGACAGTTAGTCTGTTCTGACCAAACACTGATAAAACGTTTCCTTGGTGACTAGATACAGATGCTGCTGAGGTCCCATTTAGTGCTAGTGATGTCAGGTGACAGTTAGGCCACAATAAATTGTCTACATTTTCATCCATTTTGGCAATTCAAATGCAGCCAAGAAGCATTATATTTTGTTACAGGAACTCTCCAACCATCATGATTCCTATGAAGCATGATTGTTTCTACCTATATGGTGTACCAGTACTTCATCCAGTGAACTCACAGGGAAATGTAGGTGATAAAGGGATGCCAGACAGGGCTTTTGGTAGTGTGGCAGGCAGGGATGAAATTGTGTTGTTAGCCTCACTGTAAATTAGCTAAAGCAGATTAGATGGAGACAACTCCAGTAAGTTATATATGTTTCTGGTATGTAAACATCAAAGTCAATTCCTCAAGTTATGTATGTTTCTAGTATGTAAACATCCAAGTCAATTCCTCAAGTTATGTATGTTTCTAGTATGTAAACATCCAAGTCAATTCCTCAAGTTATGTATGTTTCTAGTATGTAAACATCCAAGTCAATTCCTCAAGTTATGTATGTTTCTAGTATGTAAACATCAAAGTCAATTCCTCTAGTTATGTATGTTTCTAGTATGTAAACATCAAAGTCAATTTCTCTAGTAATATTTCTAAGCACCATACCTCATTTATTAATTATGTCTTTAAAGATATATAGGACTAGTCAAACCATAAAGTCTCAAATAAATCCTTCTTTAGTTGATGTGCGAAGGTTTCATTAGATTACAGAAATGTTGTTTGAGTGTGGCTCCAGAAAGAAAAGCCTATTCTGTGAAGTGCCTGCCCCCCAGCCCGTGGCTACTATCTTTTCCCTCTGGCTTGTGAAGTAAACTTTAGGTAGCCCTACTGGCTAGCTTATGTTCTATCTAGTGACCTTAAATATATAAACTGACCTTCCAAATCTCCAAAAGAAAATGCTGACTTGAAAAATAAGACCTATTTCTAAAAATAACAAGCATAAAATACTCATATCCCCCGCCAATATTACATGTCCGGTTGTGTGCAAGGCATTACCTCTTGTGAACTATGATCACTGGACCTTTTTATAAATGGCCTAAATGCAAGCACTAAAAAAGTTATTAATGGTGTTGTTTTGCCATCTGCAGTTTATGATAGAATACGTAACTGTATTTGTAATGAGTTGTGTTATTACTTAAACAATAATCAGAGTAAGTACTTAGAGATCATTGAGAGCAGAGGTCACCATTAGGTGTACTGAGAAGTACAGCACCAATCATCTGATGATCTGAGTAGTAGACTGGAGTCTGGAATGCTACAGCATCGGCAAGATCAGTAAACAACAAGTCCAGTGTAGCTCCAAGACAGTGAGTTGGAGAGTGATTGAGTTGAGTCATTTTTTCGCACATTAAAGAAATCTTCAAGTTTCAGGGTTTTTTTCATGTTACCACCATGCACTAGGCTGGTTCGGGTGCCACTTGTAAATTGTGTTTTCACAATAATTCACCATATACCTTGTCCAAGTTCCTTTGCCAAATGGTATACATCACAATTAGGTAATGATGGTAACGGTTCTCTGACAACCCTGCGTAGCTGTTTTTGTAGAATGTGTAAACGGTTTCTGAGTTTTGCTCTTGCTAAGGAAATATTCGTAAAAACTCCCAAACTATCAAAAGGCACCAGTTTACCACTAGACTGATTTATATGCCAAGTTTGGTGAAGAAATATTGTTGTTTTTCAAGATCTGTACCAAGTTTGGTGATTTTCAGTCTAAGTCAAAGTCGTTGCCAGGGATACTTGAAAAATACATTTTAAAATATCCCAAACTATCAAAAGACACCAGTTTATCACTAGACCTATTTAAGTGTCAAGTTTGGTGAAGAAATATTGAACGGTTTTCAAGATCTGCTCCGGAAATGAGGACTACCGCCATTTTCAGTTTAAGTCAAAGTCATTTGCAGAGAAACTCGAAATTTATTTTTTTTTAAATCCCAAAGCATCAAAAGGCGCCTATCTATGTGCCAAGTTTGGTTTAGATATCTCTCATGGTTTTTGATTTCTGCTCAGGAAACGAAACGTGACGGACAGACGGCACCCATTCCTATATCCCCCTTCCACTTTGTGGTTGGGGATAACAACATAGGTTGTTATTCAGCTGTGCCATATTGCTAGAAAGATGACTTTTCTTGAGCAGTATCAAAATGCATCATATTGTCATTATGGTGTGATTCTATAGATTACCACTCTGCCAAATTCATTGATATTGACTTGGATTGATACTATTTAACCTTATTAAAACTAAAACTAAATTTTCTCTTAGTGCTACCAGATTTCTCCTTGTATTTGTTAGGGTGGAATTTAAAAATAATAATATTGATTTAAAAAAGTCATAACAATAACACTAAAACCAAATGCTTGCAAATATACTGAGCATATTTTGAATGTACTTGAAGCCATCTTAACCAAGGAAGTGCAATTTCTTTATGACATTGTTTTAAATCAAAGATGGTGGCTTGTTGGGATTTCAGGGAACGCAGGTTGTATGAGACAACTAAATATATTAGGTAGTCAGGCTTGAGCTTGACATGGTTGATAGCATTTCAATTGTATGATTGTTGCTCTTAATATTAATCACTGGTTGGTGCATTTATGGCCGTCATCATTAAGTTGGAATGTTGCTGAAACAAACACTGCAAAACTCAGCAGGACCCTCTCACCTGAGGTGTTACCAATAATACAGCCAACTGATGTACAGCACACAAGCTATAACTGGTGTAAGTCACTCACTCACTCAACACAGTTATTCTGATAATCACACAGCCCTTCAGTTGACAGCTCACAGCAATCCTGCATTGCCTCTCCATAATAATTACCTAGCTGTTGTCAAAAATTAAATAAGAAATTTTTGAGTAATTTTCAGAGCATCTTTATTTGTCCGGCATTAATAGCCATACACTGATGCAGAAAAAAAATTCAATAAAAGTACACAAAACAACAATGCAGAAAAAAGCTGTACATCACACATTTACTATCCATGGAGGTATGAAAATAAACAAACTGGCACATATGAATAAAACAAAATCTACAGCCTTCACAAAGGATTGAATCACATGAATGAAACTGAAATACAGGCAGGAAAAAAATAATGGTCCATGAGTTATCCCCCCTTGTAGATTCCTTGACACCCAGTTACAGTTTTAATAATACTGACTATGAAGTCTAATACTATTCTACCCCCTGAACTGCTTTTGGTATATCTTGGATATGACTATATTAGCTGTAAATATCTTGATCAGTGGTGCAATGGTACTTTATATGGATGCCACTTGTCCAAAGGGAGACAACTCAAGAAGAACAACAATTACTTTATTAAATGGGTATTTTATGGAAGCACATAAAATGTGTTAACGCAGAGTAGCACAAAGATGAAACTTAGGGGTAATTGCACTATGTTGAAGGTGAGAAGAAAACCTAGATGTCTTCTCCTATAATACCTGATCTACTGTCGCTGTTATATGATTCAATCAATTTCAAGAAAGAGAGAAAAACAAGTTAAATCAAACCCTCACTTAAAGGACAACTTTCCCTATAACCTTTCTTCCTATTTTTCTCCAATCCAGACATGATGTAGAGTTGTTGAAACGTTACAATATACTAAATACTTATGTTACAAATTGTTTTCTAGATGAATGACAATTAAGGAGAAAGACTTTGGTGTCACAAAAATAATTACAATAAAAGGACAGGTTAAATGGTGTCTGCATATTAAGTACATAGAACCTGTTGAAACACATAAAAAAGAAACATTTTATATTTTACAACTTCATGAAACAGTAGTCTGACATTTTTTCCTATTATTTGGAATTTTGTACAATTTACATTTGTTTTTGCACAGAAGTCAAAACGACATATATATATCTTCCTCCCCACTGTTAATTACCACTTATAAAATGATGTTAGGTTTGTATTTTAGATCAACATAAAATAGCAATCAGTTGACTTTTACTCAATCTCAAACATACACTTTGACAAGTAACCATGGTTACAAACATTCATCTCAGGCCAGTAAAACAAGAAAGTATTTAACAATAGTGTGGTGAAATTCAGTATGTAAGTTAAAAGACAAAGATTTTACAGATAGAATAAAGTAGAAGTTAAAACTGCAGACGCACCAATGTTGGCATATATTGCAGGGTAATCATTGACTATGTTGCACTAGAGTAGATTATGATGAACATACGGTGCCCAAACATGGTCAGATTACAAAATGGCATCACAGATGTGCAGAATATTGTCTGTACAAACAAGACATTTGCGTTGTAATCAGATATTATTAGAGAAAGCTTGAGGTCACACCATCAAATCTCCAGGGTTAAAATGCTACAATTCACCTACATCCCAAGTTTCGCACCAAAACATACTTTCCAAAACTATACATTTCTGCATACAGATGGCTCAAAATGGCTAGCATCTTCTAAAGCAAGGTTTATACAAACAATGAGCAAACTCTACATGGCACTTAAAGTCTTGAATTAAAAACAATCTCTGGTTTGTCGTACAGTTCACGTTCCTTGCTCCCGTTCTTGCGAAACATGACTATATTGTAGCATATGTAATGTTGAACCTGTTGTATTGTCTCACATAGGCAGACAGGTGTCTACAGCTGACCAAATACAAACAATACAGGCTATAAATATATTAAATACTTAGGCAAAGATAAAAGCCAGGAATATTGTGTCACAGCAGCGTTTAGATCACATAATTTGAACATAGCAAGTCACATACAACAAAGGGAACCAAAGGACCTCACACCCATGTTCACGTCTGGCACTCGTACATCTCGCCAGATTGCAGACTCTTGTGGCGGACATATTACGTAATGTCTGCCCATTGACAACCTCCTATCTCCAATTCCAGTCTTGTGAAGAAACTGCTTTAGAATTCAAGTCTGTAAGCTGAACAGCTGGTTTCATGGTCCTGTAACTGGATGGTGCAACGACTAGCCGAAGGGGCGACATCAATTTTCAACTGTCCCAGATCTTCCTTGTGGAGTCCCATCCAATGACGAAGGGTCTCATTGTCATAAGTTGGAATGACTGTCACTTCTAGGTCCTTGTCCTCCCAAGTCTTCTTCGCTTCCAGTAAGGAATTGAGGATTTGAGGATTAGGGGACAAAGCGCTGAGAACATAATACCGCGCACGGATCCTCTTGAAGAACTCCACATCACTATAGGCTGGGTCGCCGTGATTGGGGATATAGGTTAGGTCGACATAGAAGGCAGTGAGAGGGGGCAATGGTGGGCCACGACTACCTGAGGGTGATGATCTGCTTGTAGCAGTGGCAGGACGACGGGCAGGGGCAGCACGTGTTGTCTTTGCTGGTTCAACTCGTGCAGGCGCTGTGGCAGGGCGAGTTCGGGTAGGTGCTTTGGTAGTAGCAGGGGCAGGTTTCTTAGGCTCTGCTTTTTTCTCAGTTGGTCGCGCTGTTTTAGCCTTGGGTTCTGTTTTGCTGGGGCCATTTGCTGTTTTATTAGTAGTGGTTTTAGTTGTTGCTGGACGTTTCTCTGGGGCTTTCTTTGTTCCAGTTGATGATTTTGAAAGATCTGCCTTCTTCACTTCTGCGGCCTTAGCTCCATTTTTGGTTGTTTTTGAAGCTTTTGTTGTCTTTCCATTGCTAGGACTGGCTGATTTACTGTCATCGAGTGGAGGTGGGGAAGGCAGACCCATAGGTTGTCCCCATTCACCGAGAGGATCAAACCCTTCTGGCTGCTTCTTGTTCTCTGGTTCAAATGGACTCTGATCACTGAAAGGATTCAAGGAGCCTTGTGTTTGTCCTGGTTGGTTGGTCTGGTCAATTCCAACAAACGGGTTCTGTCCTTGTTGGTCTAGACTATCAAAGGGGTTTGAAGATGCTTCCATGCCCCTTATATTGGCAGGGGGGTCTTCTATACCAATTAAGTCCTGCTCAGATGACCCATTAACAACAGCAGCTTCACTCTTCTGCGCATCACACTCTTTTGCAAAGGACTCATCAATATCTTTATCATCATCTGGTGTTCCACCATCGATTGAATCAGTGTCATCTCTGATATTGCTTCCAACATCATCTTGGATGTCACTAGCTACTGCTGAGTCAGTTGCTAATGATTGCTGATCACCTGTTTGATTGTCAAGGGACAAACTCTCACCAGGTGTTGGGGTTTCATCCTTTTCAAATGCTTCTGGGATGTTGGAGGACTCCTGTAGCTCCTGTTCCCTTTCAATGCTATCTCTCTGAAATTCTTCATGTTCTGGACTCTCCTCAACCCTTTGGACTTCGTCAGCTTCTTTCTCTGGGGATTCTGATGCCCTGGATGCCTCTTGCTGATCATAATCTGCATATCTCTCATCGACAGGAATACTGCCTGTTGGTGGTGCTTGATCAACAACTTCTGTCACATCTTCCTTTTCAAATCCAGATACCTCTGCCTCCTGCTCCTCGCTTGATCCTCTTGTTTCTTGTGGTCCCTCTTCATCTCCCAGATCAACATCTTTCTCATACACAAAGGCATCAGGATCCCTCTCTTCAGCTTGGTCCATGTCATCATCCTCTTCCTCATCATAGATCCCCATCTCTTCCATGGATTGTTTATCAATGTTAGATTTCTCTTCTGCAACAGGTACAACCTGTTCTTCCTGTCCCTCTCCAAACTGGTCTTCTCTCTCTCCAAACTGGCCCTCTGGTTTCTCTTCTGCCTCTGGTTCTGGAGAAGAATGAACAGGTTCTAAAGTTTGCTCAACTGGTTCAGGTTCAGGAGACTGTTCAATTGGCTCTGGTGACTCTCTCACTGGATCTGGCAATTTATCAGCAGGTTCAGGTTCAGGAGACTGTTCAATTGGGTCTGGTGAGTCTCTCACTGGATCTGGCAATTTATCAGCAGGTTCAGGTTCAGGAGACTGTTCAATTGGCTCTGGTGACTCTCTCACTGGATCTGGCAATTTATCAGCAGGCTCTGGAGATGGGTTCCTTTCTAGCTCAAGTGATTCTTCTCGGGATGGATCATCTGCAAGTTGTTTTTCTTCAGAATCCCGTCCTGACTCTACCTCTTCATCCTCCTCCTCTTCCTTGATGCCACCCATATGTCTCCCATTGTCATCAGTGATACCATACTGTATGCTCTGTTCAAGAGAAACATGTTGGCCTTGCATAACAGGAACAACATCTGGCTCCTGAGTGAACTGTGGAGTTGGTTCCAGAGGGCTGTCTGCATCTTTTGAGAAGGAAAATCCTTGTTGCTCTTCAGTTAGTTCTGGTGAAGAAGGGATTTCTTCAGCAGGGTCTGTATCATCTTGCACTGCCGGTTCTTCCGAGTTGGGTACAATGTCTGGATCAGCTGTGACAGTATCAGCCTGAGATTCTACTTCTGGTAAAGCCTCTTTCTGTTGAGTAGTCTCCTGAATCAGATCTGGCTCTGACACAAAATGGGATTGGTCAGGAACTTCAACTGGCTCAGGCAGAGACTGTGGCTGCTCAATCTCCTCTGGTTCCTCAGGTGTGCCTGCTGGTGATTCAGTAACAGGTTCGGTTGGTAAGGATCCATTAGCCTCTTCAGCTTCTTCTTCTTCTTCATCATCATCATCATAGATACCCAATTCAGCCAGTTTCTGTCTGTCATATGGGGGCTGGGCATCAACCGGTGTTGTTTCAGGGGCAGAGTTGACTGGCTCAGCTTCATACTGAACTGGGTTAGGCAGAGGTTCAGGTGAATCAGACTCTCTCACTTCTGACTGAAGTGCTTCAATTTGTTCTGGTTTCATTAAAGGTGTCTCATCAACCTCGGGCTTGGGTTCTGGTACTGTAGCATCTCCATTGATATGGTTGACCAAAGGTTCTGCTGGGAAAGACGTGTCAATCAAACTACCTTCTTGTGGTGGAGTCTCCACAATGGCAGCTGCAACAGGAGCAATTGGTTCCACTGGACTCTTAGAAGGAGAACTGGCACTCTTGACTGAGCTCTTTGAGGGGCTGGATGAAGTTGATGATTTTGCTTTGTCTGTCTTTTCTTTCTCCTTATCATCCTTTTTAACATCCTTAGACTTGGCAGTCTTTTTATTGGTATCTTCTTTAGAAATCTTATTTCCCTTTGAAGCAGGGCTGGACAGAGGTCTTGATCTTTCTGGTTTGGGGGTTTCAGACTTTCTTGGAGATTCTGTTTTGACAGGTGTAGAACGTGGGGCAGGCTTAGTTGCTGGTCTTGCATTTCCAGCAGCTTTCTTGGGTGGCTGATTCAGATCCTTTTGACAGCAGCTTGGATGTTTCAGGAAATTCAAATGCTTTATCCTCTCTAAACCCTCAATGATTTTGTTCTGTGGTGCATTTCCAGGGAAAAAGATTCTGGTAATTTTCTCGGTAGGATTAGCAGGTCTCCACACAAGCAGGGCACAGATGGACAACATATTAGGTAGGGGGAATTGTTGGTTGATACCGAAATTGCTGACCTGCTTGTTCCACTGCTGGTAGAACTCTTTCAGCTCCTTGCTGTCTTGCACTGGGTTCAGGATGAACATATCAAGGGAGCCATGACCTACTTTATGGTAGAGATTGACAGGTTCCTGTTGCTGTCCAACCACACTCCGTGAACATGGGTGTGGGAACTGCCCCAACTGTTTGGAGTACTCAATGATACGATTGCCCTCTTCAGCCAAATTGATTAACAAACTAGGATCTTTGTCCTTAAGATTCTCAACACTGGGTGCAGGTGAGGACCTGGTCTTCTCACTGGAATTCAGATACATAAAGCCTATTTCTGGATGTACATTCTCAACGCTCTTTCTTTGCAAAACTGACCCGAGCCCAAACAAATTATCAGTTCCCAAATGGGTTAACAACACCGCATCTATCCTATCCAAGTGTCGAGTGAAATCCCAGAAACATGCTTTTCTATTGTATCCTCCATTAACAAGGAGGCTGAATCCACTGATACCAAAGAGAGCAGAATCTCCTTGACAACCAGGGAATATGTACAGAGTGGGCTTATTGAACCTAATGTTACCAACAACATCAGACGATGACAGCAAACTGTTCAGACTTTGAGCCTTAACAAAGCTACTAACATAGGCAGTAAACTGAAGGACTCCATGGACATTGTCTAACTTCTCAGGTGGGTTCACCTTGATCTTTAAAATTTTAGAAAAGTCCTGTTTGTTGATACTGGCACTCCAGTCACCATCTGCCAGGCTGTAAAACACCAGGTTTACATCCTCTTGTTGTTTCAGGGCGTTTTCCACGTCAGTATCCTTGAAGATGTGGACAAAGTTGCTGAAGGTAAAGACATCATCTTGCAGGACCCAAGCCCCAGATCCCTGGAAGGCATGTCCAGCATACAGGAGGAACTTGAGCTGACAGGCAACCTTCAGGAAGCCCTTCAGACATCGGCGGACTGTCTGGGCCTGCGGGTTGACCAGGATCTCCACAGCAACATTGTCTGAGCGGTGGCGGATCGTCCTTTCCCCTGCAACACATGAAAACAATAGTCAGACTGGATTTCGTTAGTGCGACACTCATGTATATGCTGGATTCCATTATTGTAAATATGAACAATTTTCAAGAACATTTTCTCCCTTTACCAGAAATAGCAAATCTGAAAACATGATACATATATTTTTACAATTATCTAAGCAGGTGCATATTCTGCAAACTGTTGAGATCTGAATCAACAAGTATATCAAAGTATGATTGAACAATACTGTGGGACATACAGCAAGAGTTCCAACATGAAGTACAATTAGGTGATAATTAAAAAAAGACAAAATAACTATGATGCCAAAAATAATCTTCTTCATATGTGAAGTACTTTCGCTCCTTCAAGGAGTTCCTCAGCTCATAAATGTCGCAATATGACATCATCATCATCGTCATATCATCACATCATCATCATACCATGACATCAAAGTCAAGTGTTGATGAACTCTGTGAAGGGATGAAAGTACTTCACATATAGATTAGATTACTTTTTACTTCAAATGTACTTTCTTTTTTCTCATATATATCTATATATAACATATAACTTTGAGTAAATTAATCCTTTGAAGGATTACAAGTATTAGGATTAATTTACTCCATGTTTTTATTTTTATCTGTATGCTGCCTGAGAGTTTATATACATATATAATGTTGTACAAGAAATTACATAAACACACAACATAACTTTGCCAAATTTGAAAGCGTTTCACTTATAGTTAGTATTTCTTTTCATAGAGGACAATTAATTTCAAATATCCACTTATATTTCACAACATCAAAAGCCAAATTTATGCACTGTTTCAGTTGAGATTTAGATAACTAAAAAAGACACACTAAAGCAAACAAAAAATGATTTTTTCTCTAAATTTCTCAAATAATCTTCTTTTCAAGATTTGTGCTATGACAACATACACATATTTCAGAATTAAGCCAACAACACAGAGTGATTACAGGAATTAATCCAGTGCCCATTACTGGCTGAACTCTTTACACACCAAGGCTGTAAACACATGGTAAATGTACATCAAAACTATACAACAAGGAGAGTCAGAAAGCATACTTTATCATTTTAGATCAAAACACATCTATTCCTTTCAGAAATCAGGAATCATTTCTGAAAATACTGGTAATGGAAAGCAAAAATTGTTTTGATTAATGACATTAATTCAGGAAAAACTGAATTGTTTAGTAGGACATTGAGGGCACAGAAACACAGAAACTTCTACACGAGATGATGTTTAATAAATGAACATGAGTACTTCATTTAACATCATTACAGAAATAAGATAACTAGACATGCACTTGTCACATACCTCAATTTCACAAATTACAAAAAAAATTACAATGAAACCACATTTTATAAACCCTATTTAAGCTTCTTGAAGGTAAAGACATAAAATATAATATATACAAAATACAAATAATAGATGATCAACAAGTAAAATAAAAGTTTTTTATGCATAATTTGGATCTTTCAAGAATATTTCACGGATTCATGTGTTTCCTAATGTCTTGTTCTAATCTTGTCTCTAACCTCACAAAATTTTCAGTTTCAGTCAATCAGATTGAGTTGGAATCAATCTTAGATGAAATACCAAGATTATAACTTGTTACTTGTTACAAGAACATGCTTAAGCCATGCGATACTGGAATCTTGGAGAGCGTGCAGATGTAGTCCTGACTGACTTACCTCCCTTTACCTTCCCTGCATCGTCAGCTGTTTAAATAGGGCAAGGCAAAGCTTAGCTCTTGATACTAGTTCGTAACTTCACATGCTATTATAAGTGATGAAGTGAGCAGGAAAAGGAAACAGCAGCTTTATTGGAATTCTGTTATTTGTTTATACTATTTTACCAAACTTAATGCAGAATTTCATTCCATACTTTTACCAGTTTCTTCACATATTTGGAAAACCATTTGAATATGTCATATAAATGTCACATAAAAAACAAAATAGTTTCAATGTTTTTGTTTTTCAAATTGTTCCAAAAGCCACTTTCGTTTTCCATATTCCGTTATCACATGCATTCAGAATCTGCAAACTTGCAAGAAATGAACATGACATAATGAATTGATGGCCTCGAAAACCAGTATTGAAAAATGGCTGATTCAGGACATTAGCACATACAGAACAAAGACCACTACGTGTACCCAAGGGAATCCTGTCCCACTCAGTATCTCCCAGACACCTGTGGTACCACCAAATACAAACACATCCAAACTGGGAAGAGCTATTGATTATACCTATTTACCTATGTTAGATCTATACAATGAGGACACCACAAATAATGAAGGAGAGTCGGTTTTTATCAACTTCCATGGCAGCAGTATTGATTGCTGTTTCTAATGCATCAATTTCTGGTTGAGTCACTTGTTACTTGCAGATGTATTAAATGTCTGTCACTCAAACACGAAAAAGGCAACATTAATAGTGCAGAAACACTCGATAATCAATTGCATCAGACGTGAAATTGACAACGCTTATTGAACACTGGTCTTCCAAATTCACATGGAAGAATAAAATTTGTGGAATCAATTGCAAGTTCCATTTCGTTTCCACTGAAGAGGATTGGAACACTCCAGCAATAAAAACATCAGCAAAAATCAATATGGTAAACACAATTTTTCTTGTTTCCATCAAAAAGGATTCTAGAGGTTCAAGAAACTCGGGAAAGATGATTACAGGAAACAACCTGTGAGGACCTATGACATCCCGGGGTTATCTGCATCATTCTAGCTAACTTGGAAATCATAAAGACTGCCAAGCAATAAAACTCCTTTGTAATATGTCCATCTTACAATTGTATTTCTTGGCAAACAGTGAAAGATGTGAGAATGAGATGGGGCTACAAGAATTACTGATGATATTAGGTGAACTGTCAAGACATGTGATAGTAAATCTTGATACAAGGAGACTATCTAGTGGACATCCCAAATGCCTAAGAAAACTGTCATAGGTTACAGCAATAGTTATCAGCCTCAGTATATGCGTAATGAAATCCCTGATTCTCAAAAGATCAACTTCAAATCCACCCGCAGGTCATTCATTTTTGAAGCACTGACAAATACTGCATAACCTATGACAAAAACTCTCCAAGCAGTTGTCCTATCATGGGGAGAAAACTCACCATTCGGCCCTTCCTCTCCCAGAGAAGCCCTGTTGGCAATCTGTGCAAGCTCTTCATTGATATCAATCCCCGTGGCTTCAGTGTCCCAGCATTTGAATCCTGCAACAAGATAGAGGATGGTTAGAGGCACATATACACTTTTCTGAATGTAATCATATTCTTTGCCCAAAAGACATGTATGAAATGCAGTGCCATAAAATGGAGCAGAGCTACAGTGAAACACCATATAAAATCAAGAGTGGTCTTTATAAAATGGTTGCTGACATACGTTATAGAACTTGTCCATTTCAAAGCAAAAACAATTTTTCATAATATTTGCTCATGCAATAAGTGTATCACATCAACTGGACTTGTTCCTAAATAGATGTTGAGGTATGTGCATATTACAAAAACAAATAAAAAAGTTGATTGCAACTCTTTAAAGAATGATGTGCATCTAAAGATTAATCCTATGAAAAGTTTCCTTCGCATCGGAGGTAACAGTTTGTCACCAGTTTCTGACATAGACATAGCTTGATAAACCAACTGAATTAACAGTTTCATGATAGCACACCATTACACAGTTCAAATGTTACATTGTTTGACTAGGATTTATTACATTCTGATGAAATATTATTTTGCATGCATTTTCTGAGATGATGAAAATGCACCAAAGTTATTTTATTGAGTACATCAAGTACCAACATTACAGTGTCATCCATGAGCAAAACGGTTTTGCACACTGTTGGTGAGTTTATGACACTACAACCCGCATGTCTGTCTGTGAGTGAGATACACATTGCACACTGTTGGTGAGTTTATGACACTACAACCCGCATGTCTGTCAGTGAGTGAGATACACATTGATCTCCTGCAATGACTCACAGCCAGGGAATTTCTATTTGTGTCCGTTTAGTCACACGATGGTACACAACAATGGAGGCTACCTGGGGCAGATCAATACCGTCAGTTACTCCATACTGTCGGACTACTTCACAATCATCTTCCCATGACAACAAATTTCAATAAATGAGCAAAAAATAACAATAAGGATTTCATTTGCTGAAAGAAAGTTATGCTAACATTTCTTACTGACCAGTTGGATGGGACATTTCATAAATAGTATTTCCAAAATGATGCAAATTACAACGTTGAATGAACATTTAATAGGCAGAAATTGATGACGTTTGTTGCTAAGCCTATGTACATTTTATGGAAGTTAGGAAGTTGTTTGTGTTTATATTCTGAAGTTGATCATAAAGCAAGTATTCATAATATTCAAAGCCTAAGGCAGTGATATAACAAAAACAATCCTAATCTCTGCTAAAGCAAATACTCATTCAATATTTATATTTCAGCTAGCACAAAACAAACTTTTTCCAAGCAATGACCAATATCCAAATCATGGATCTAAACCCAGTGTTGTTCTCATTGTAAATATGTATAGATTTCAGCACAATGGATCTACGATCAACACATATATGACACAAACACCAAATGTTACACTTGGGAGTTGGTGAGTGGATGACAACTGAGCATGATTGATGACAACATTCTTGATGCCTGTTCCACCATATGCTACCTGTGACTATTGAGGTTTGTGTTGCCGTGATAAATGTCAATCATACCAAGAGTTTAAATAGTACTAAAAAATTAAGCGTCACCTGAACTTCTAAGAAAGTGATTATCTATGAACATCTGTGATCTATCAAGCCAACTGCAGGTTTCAGTGAGATACGGATCAATCAATGCCTTTAAGATCTGTTTGAAATCCTTGTGTGAGTCACTGTTTCCCTTCACCCCTTCAAAGATCAACCAATATATAAATATGGTGACAAACCCTCAACTATACACACTCATTAATAACATTCAGCATTCTCCATTTTCAAAGATGATGCATGAAGTTTCTGATTCTCTCAACCAAATATTTCACTGCAGAGATTTTCACTACATCAGTCCTTCTGAACCATCTTGTCAATATGTGCCTAGACAGCTATCATATAACTGATGTTGATTTTAATACACTGAAGGAGTACTTATGAATGTAACACACAGTCTCCTATCTGTAGAGGATCTGTTTATCCTGGCACTCAATACATCTCTGTTGCAACAGAATCCATGCAGGATATATACTGAGGGGAGGATATGTGGCCTCCATTACTGATCATCTTGTTACACATTAAATGCAGTGCATGTCCTCTTGAAATCAGATATGTGCAAGTGCATTTCTCATTCTGACTCATACAAAGTGAACATGAATTGTTTTCTGGCAAAGGTAGATCTGCTTTCAGTGACATTATATTGCTATATCAGAAATCTTTCACACATCATTTCCATAAGTTTTCTTTATCATGTTTATGTACATGTTGGCATGGACAATTAATTGATCATTTCAAGGCTAATCAAGTGTTGGTATTTGTACTGCTAGCAAACCATCCCAGGTTGGATATATGTCAGTGGCTCCTGACACCATTCACAGCTCCCAGGTATTAATCAGCTGCTGATTACTTCTGTATGCATTATCTGCACGCCCCCTAAAACACATGACCACATTCCAGGACTGGTCATTATCAGCTGCCTGTATGGTAATCAGTGACCTCTCCCTCACACACTCTTTCCCAAAGAAATACAAATTTCAACTTTCACTTCATTCTAGTCTCACAAGTTTCCATGGAACTGACAACATGTAAAATCTAAACATAAGCACCAAATGGCATCAGCATGATCACTAAACCATGAGGTTCATTGGAAAAGGAAGTCATAAACGTAAAAAAAACCAAACAACACAAACCATCCAAAGCAACAAATGACCCCATTTGATAATTTGGTAGGAATGTATGTAAAGTTATGTGAATAAAGAATGAAGTTATACAACGAAAATATAAATATATTTCATGACAAAAGCCTGTTGTGCCTATCAGTATGTCCCCTGCATTTGTATACCCAAAGGGATCATACACAATCGTTCACCTTGCATCATATCAAAGGACCATGTTCAATGAATGTTGACTTGTATAAACCACTTGAGACTGACAGTGCTTGCATGGCACCAAATCACCTGTCTAAGTCACAACACACTGAGGTAAGCATATGTGGAGAGGTGTACATAATCCATCCTTGGAGGTCTATACAAGTCTCTATACACTGTCTATTGGAAACACTTGGATAGGCAGAGACATTTCCTGTGTGTCACCCCACTGATCTAGCCTAGCACATGTGTATCACTGACGTTTACTGTGTGTACCAATTCATATTAAGTCTTTGAATGGCATTTAGAGGTGAATACACAAAAGGAAGAGATGGATGTCAACGTCTTCATCATGAGGAACACAATGTTTTGGAGTATACTTACTCCTTCACCAGGTGAAGAAATGCTATGAAACAGAGAACGTATATATGCACCTGTAAGAACAACAAAAGTAATAAGATAACAAAGGTGGAAACTTAACAAGGGGAGCCAACAGTTAATTGGCGCTAATAGGTGATTAGCAATGGACAAATGGAAGCCAACACTCAACAGTTAATTAGCGCTGATTGGTGATAGCGATGAACAACTGGAAGCCAGGACTTCAATTATCATTGATTGGTAAAAGGCAATGGACAATGGGCAAATGGGAGGCCGGGAGTTACAAGCACTAATAGGTAATAGCAAATGAGATGGCAATGGACAAACAACTGGTGACAAAGAAAACTACAAGAAGCCATTGACATCAGGAGACACCAGCCAGCCATGACCCGTGAACCAATTCATACTGTTGGGGACAAAATTGAATGACTGTATTTTGTCAGTAACAGGACAATCCTAATATATCACAGTTTTTGTCTACGAACTACAAAATGAGTTTGGGAAATGCAGAGGGGCTTTGCGTTCTATACCAGAAAAATACATCAATATCACCAGAATGTCTACACAATATGTATGATTAATATACAAATTTGTGTCAACACAGCAGGTACAATTGTGACAGCTATATACACACTGTCAACTGCAAATGCCTGTCAACACAATAGGTATGAATACTGTTCAACCAGGGAGCCACACCGACACAGAACGTGGTGAGGACAAACTATCAAACACAGAGCCCGTAACTTCTTGCCTTCTTCAAACAACATCCAAACAAAAAACAAACTTTGTACAGAGCTGAAAAAGCTGAAAATAAGGGTACTTAGGTATGCACAGAAAGCTCTTTCTTGTCTGGGAAGACCTGACCTTACTCTGAAGATACGTGTTGGACAAGGCTTGGTCTAAATGACTTAGGGTTGGTGTTTTGTGGGTCACTGACCAGTGATGGAAATAAGTTGAAAACTCCAAAAGGCAGTCAGGCAGGTGACCCATAAGTGTTGCCTGCCAGTCTTCAAAGTTACCTTCCGCCTTCAGACATAAATATTGATAAATTGCAAAAAAAAATAAAAGAGAAAAATCACGTCTTGATTCAGTTGAAATAATGCAAACAATTACTGGAGAATCTACAGGAGTTATAATAAAACTGAATATGTAAGTAGTGTTGAAATAATCTGCCAAACAGTTGGAGAGGTGGAGGAAAATTTTATGCAGCCTGACAGAATAGTTACCAGCCACGGGCAGGCAGTCAGTTATTTCTGACAGTCATTGACTAGGCTGGATATGTTTTAGTGCTGTAGTAATAACAGGTCACAACTCATGTGGCACATCCTAGCAACATCAGGGTCATAATGGTAGTCCTGCTGCCTCCAAGTGTGTTGCTGAAAGTGTAGAGAAGGGACTCTAATGAACGTAATGACAGACTTCTAAGTCAATCTGCTGTGCATCATTGTTGAAAGCAACGTGTGATTGTGCATCTGACAACGTGAGGATGTCCTTATCAATAAACATGTATAATGGCACCGTGACCTTTCTGGCGTGACACTGCAGGCTATTTGCTGTGGAGCTACTGTGTCTACTATTCTCTCCACCTGAGGCAAGTCATGCAGGATATGTTATCATGGAGTAAAGTGACATGTAATTTGGTGCAGCCATTATGCTAAAAAAAATACTTCAAATCTGATAATGCCATTGTGACATTGATTATGATGTCATTATTGCATGTAATGACTCACTTAGGCCAAACACAAACTTCTTGTGTTTCAGAAAGCATGTACTG